CGATGCACACACGTAAAACGTAAATTGTTCACTGATGAAGAAAAAATTACTAAAACTGAACATGCCCACATTTTTGTGGTTTTTGGGGCGAAGAATGACGGAGTGTTTCCTTCAAGCATGAGAGAAAATTGTTACAAATGCTTTCACAGCGTTTTTCCACTAATATCACAAAATTAGGCTTTTCTGAGCTTTCAAGCATTTAGAAATACAGAAGATTCTGACATTATGTCCAGTATAAGCGGAAAGAACCAGGCATGGAAAGCACAATAAAAATCCGAAATAATTAGGAGTATTAGTATACAGTCTGGATCGCTTCAAACGCGTAATTTCCCCATATAAAACACTTAGAATAAAGACAACACGAACATAAAACCACACATGAAACGAATCAAATTTCTTATGATTATGTTTTGAATGAAATTCATTTTATGGTGATAATTATATAATTGCGACCAGCACACTTATTTTAAAGATAATCGGATCCAAAAAAGGTGTCAACTGCTTTCTTATAAGCATGATATGCTTCATAAGCGAAGGGTTGTTTCAGTTCCGCGCTTTTGAACGGAAATACGCGGTGACTCATACATTCTTCATATTTTCCTTTTTCCGGCTCAAATTATTGAATAATGAACTGATAAATCCGAGTAAATTGTTTAATTGAAAACTACGTTTAAATTTGGACCGTTCAAAAGATAAAACTATAAAAAATGTCTCCTAAACTATTTTTTTGTCCCCGTTATACGAAAGAAAAAACCAAGCCGCGGTTCACTAAGTTTTGGGTTGCTCCAGCATGTGCATTCCTGCCTTCGTTCAGGAAAGTGAAGCCAAAAATTGGACAAGACAAGGACAATTGTCCGCAGCATACTTCAATAGGGGTAAAAGTGAATAATAAGCTTAATTATCTGTTCACGGCGATCATTCGATTTTTTATTGAGTTTTATGAATGCAATGCGTCCGAACGAGACGCGATTTACGGTTCGAATTGCGAGGTTCGAGGCTAACCTCGGAGGTAGCAGTTTTTTGTCTGTTTCTTACCGGGAAGAAAACACGTGGAGCGTGGTGCATAATGCCGGATTTCTGGAGTTCACGTGCAATGCCGCGTTTCGAACATGTGAAGCGGGTAATAATAGTGAGATCGTTGTTCCTCAGGCGATAATGGAATCCGTCGAAAATTGCGGTAATCCGGGGCCCACGAAGCCGAGAGCAGTATTAATTTTTGGACAGATCACCGCGCACGGAGAGAGAAGGCGAATCGGTCGCACCCCGTTTGCCCCCGCGCCTCACGAAACGACGGGACGCTGAAGCTGTGTGACAGGCTGTCATCTAGTGCCCGGAAGGGAATGCGGCATTTAGTCGAACCGGATGATCATTAGACGTCCACGTCCATATAAACAGCCCAGTTAGGACAAGCCAAGTTTGCGCCTAATTAAGCTGTGGAAAAGCGCCGAGAACAGTACGGGGACTCCGAAGCCCCGTGGGCCGCGAGCCGTAGAAGGGAAAAATGGGTGAGACTACCTCCTACCACAGTCCAGATAACCTCCCGACAAAACCCTCCATCACCGACAACAACGTGTTGCTGGGAGATTTTCGGGATACCGTACATTCGTTTCTTTGTTTCGTCCCAATCGAACTCATGACAGCGATACTTAGCCGCGTTTAGAGAGGAGTAGCGAAAAACGCCCGAAGTACAACAAATTCAAATTACCGCGCCGGTGTTCACCTTGAAACACCGTCTGAACTGATATCCATGCAACAGAGTTCTCTTCACTTGATGCTGTTCTACTCGGCTAGATAAAACAAGGAAATCCTTTGTTTGGGAGGAGTCCCGACCCTGAGAAACAAATGACCACTGCGCGGCCAATCGAGTCCATCATAGGTGCGAAAATAATGAATGATTTTCTCTTCCCTTGCATCACAATGCGGATTCTTTTGCAGCACTACATTAAGAACCCGATGTAGTCCCTATATTCTTTGAAAATCCGAAGATCAAACACAAAGGGCTCAGTATCGCGAAGATTGATCGGGCAAACTTAGCTGCTGTCTAATCAGCGGGAAAACAATCGAAAGCCTTGAACCTCCACACATCCGATCCACGAAAAAAAATTATTCTATTAACATCGTTAACCCATCAATTCAGTGTTACGTGAGATAATTTTGATTCTGAGTCTACGAAAGAGAACTTCAAGCTCCTTCAAATACAGTACGGATATTCGAAGGAATATAAATCACATTTTCACATTCCGAGAATCCGTCCATCAGAGTCGAAATGGGTTTTAAAAGCTAAGCTGTGATTCGTCCGTGAAAAACGTTAGTTTGTGGACCAAAACTCTTTACAAGTACAAATGGTAAATATCTGCATTACACACAGAGATGAAAGGCTTGAAACGGGATCTAAATAAAATTTTCTAAATAAATACTTAGTCAAAATTCGTAGTGAACACATGAGAAAACGCGTGGTATCTTCTTCCGCGAGTTTTTTTTTTTTTTTTCGAAACGACGGGGCAGCCAAAAAATGCTTGCGAGATAAATTTCATCTTAAAAGCTATAAAAGTGAGTCTTATCCGTAGGTCGTCATTGCCAAACGATAATGCGTCGTGCATCATAATACGTGATACCACAAATTGTTGCACTTTCTGCGGCATCCGAAATTGGCACATTGGGAAGCAAATAAATGCTGCGTATTAGCTTTGCCAGAAAACTTTTTTCAAGTTTGAAGGATTGAACAATTAAGGTGAGTCTTAGATTAAATCGGCTTTTTGCTTAAATGCGGTATACGCACGAGTCCATAGTAGTTTAAACTCGTAAATGTAATCGTGCATCTGACATTTCCAGGGCGTCCGTAAGAGCAACGGAGTACCTTTTATTAAGCCCTATGATTGACGGATTAATTTTGGGTGGGAGGTGAATTTATCTCTCGTAACTGAGGCAACCATTCCAAGGTGACTCGGTGGTATCAAGAACTAGAGTTTCATTTGTCATCACGACATTGTTTCGCCAAACATGGAAGGACTTGATACAAACTCGAAAGTTATCAACTAGAGACACGCTCTGACTGGGGTGTCGTATTCATAGAAGCGTTCGGACTGGGTTGTCGTGGACACGCGTTTCAATAGACAAGAACGTTTTTAAGTTCAAGATTTTCATTTGAGGAAAAAAATCTGGTACCACGCAGCCGACTAAAGTAATCGGAAAACATCGCTTGAGACACAGTGAAAGGACATGCGTTCGAAACGCAGTGGCTTCACAGAGAAAGGACGAATCACGTTACCTGCTCCTGATTCCAATCGACAAGCGTATTATCACTTGAATATCACCCAGTGGAAAGGATTCAACAGGAACGGTGAACCGTCGCTGGGCAAGCTTTAGAATCGCTTTAGTGAAGCTTTCGGAAGAACCAAATGATCTCGTCTTTGGCGACGCATTGCACACACAAATTCTCAACCTTACTCGCGCAGGTAATTCAGTCTTTATTTTCTGGCTTTCAGATCACATGGATTATCACTAAACTTCCGCGTAGACGACATTCACCGCCGCGAAACTGTTCAAGGAATGGTTCATAAGTTTCAATATTATTTCGAATAAATAAGTAAGGGGGTTTTTTAAATTGAAGAATAAGAGTTATGAAAATTTAATCGCCATTCAGAGACATCTAAATTTACATGATCTCTGCCAAATAATTGTTTTCCCCCTCCAGAAATCAGAAGCATGTGCACACCTGCTGTTGTATGACCATCCAAAACAAGGGGACGTACTTCAAGCTCACCCTCCAATCTCAATTCAACCTGGCTCACTTTGCTCAGCAGGCTCTTTTAAGGCAAGGGGCAATATAGTAGAGCGTACTAAAAATACAGAAGAATCGTGACGACCACCAGTGACAAGTGCACGAATCTCAAAACTTGCTGACCATCCCTCATATTTTTTCGACCGAATGCGTCGTCATTCGGCATATTTTGAACGCCTAGCCAGAAGCAGAATAGGATAACATAATGCATCATCGTACTGTCGCGAAAAACACTCCACGTTTATGCAAAACGTGTACCAGCAAGATAACAGGACACGTTTCGAGCACGCGTCTCGACATTCTCCAGATCATGAACCAGCAGTTATGGCTAAGTTATTATGGCTCGAATTTTCACAGCTTGCTTCCAATTGCACTTCGAAAATGCCAAGATGACTCCAGGGACAAAAAAACAAACAAGCAAAAAAATCGAAGGAATCATCAAGTACAGCACTTGAGGGTTTACGCTGTGAAGAGTGCCAATAATTATTTCATTCTTCTTGAAATCGATCAGCGTAAAACCGTCGACCCTAAAAACTTTTCGCATCCATCGACGATCGAGAAAACACGAACACGACATGCACTATTTTCTGTACGGGATCGGACCTCAAAATTTGAAAAATAATCTCTGAATCAAACCGAATAAAAATCTTTGAATTGAACACAGCAGAGCTCGAACGGGTCAATTTTATTCCGGAGGAAGAAAAGTTTGGGAATAATCAGCCAAGTACTCTAATGTATCTAGTTCAAATTGAATTTTACCTCATGTCCAGTATGTCGGCATAAATTCAAGCGTCCGACAGAATAAAAAGGGAAAGTTACGGTCACTTACAAGTAAACCCTCCACAAACTGTCCGCCGATAGTTATATGTGTCTGAGCAATACAGCCATGCCACAACCCCAAATTGTAACAGTACGTCGAAATTCTACATGGTGTGTATGGATAATATTTTATTCAGTTCTACGATGAACTCACAAAATTGAAACGAGAAAAATTGAGACGTTGGTCTGCCGAGGGCAAGGCCAAACATTCAGGAATTCCCTTTTTCTGGAGTTTTCTAGGCCCATTAGAAAGCTGAGCAGAAGAGGCAACGATACCGTTAAATGCATACCGGCAAGTATAATTTCTTCGGATCCTCATACTACAACTCTGGTCTACACTTCCGTCTCTTTGAGTGAAACATATACGGTTCTTCCGATCTTCAGGTCTGCTCATTGAAGTTTAGGATGAGTTCACAGAACCAGGAATAGCGGTTTCCGCACCGCGAAAGTACTGCTTCTGAGTGGGTTTCAATGGGTGACCCAAATCGCTCAAAACGTTGATCATTTTGAAAGGTAAAATGAAGTAAACGGACTTCCGTGTGACACGGTTGAGTGCGGGTATCAATCCCTTCTCAGAAGAAGACGGCGGTTTAGAGCGACTGAATTCTTCATTAGGAAGGAATGCAGAAAATGAAAAAAATATCTTACTCGAACAGTACCGTTTTCCCCATCAGTGGATCATAAAAAAAAAAGTTTGAACCGACGCGCTAGTTTCGGTCAAACTAATCGGGATTACAATCGTCGATACAATTAAACAAGGCAATTGAATCAAACTTAAATTCCATTGTTGTTTGTCCTGAACTGAATAATGCATGGGATGACTTGAGCTTTCCCCTAAAACACAAAAAGGGGATTTCTGAAAATTTCTCCTTCGTTTTTCTGCCAATTAATGCATGACCAATAAAAATGTGCTAATTTTGTAAACGCATCAACTTTTTCCTTGATTTCCTTAAATTTTTGTTCGTCCTGACCTGAAATATCAATGGAATCAAAAGTTTATTCTCCCCGGAAGAACAAAAAGGGGATTGCTGAAAATTTATCTTCAGATTTTCTGCGAATTAATGCATGCCCAATAAAAAGTTATTATTTCCTAATCGCATTGAAATAGTGGATTCAAGAGGGCAAAATTCCAAGTGCTTTTTGCGGGATATATATGGTATGAAAAAAACCCGAAGTTCTGCGAGAGAATTCATTCTTTAAAATTAATTAAACCTCATCCACAGCTCTCAACTGTATCTCATACATTATATGTATTACACCTCCCAATTCCGAGTGAATCGCAGCTTCTATTGAAACAACAAGCTCAAGAGAGCTAACATTTCAGATTACCATTTTGACGCGAAAGTTACTTCAAGAGTACATTCTAATAGAAGATGCTAAAGTGAGCAAGTTTTTTTTTTTTATAGGAGTGATTTCCGACTTACCCTATATACGGAGGCTTCGGCAACTTGAGCAGCAACTCCTTATCGCTGAGCGAGATGAGACACGCAAAATTCACCGACGAAAAGACCTCACGAAATCAAATCCATCGTCATTCTCAAGTCCACGAACATCAAAAGCCGTTTATTTTTACGAGAAAAAAATCGGCCAGTTGTCGAACGGAACGTCGAAGTTCTCTGAAAGTAAGCACCGTGGTCGCAGCAGCCGCCCCTTCCCAACAACTCCGTGCACAACACTGGAGTCACGCGACCGGGAGCGCGACGCTTACGATGATAAGGTTACTGACCAGCGGAACACCACTCGGCGAGCGCTGGACTGACGCTGCAGGGATTCCAGCGCATGAGGACCCGCGCCTGTTTTTCTCTCTGCTCTCTCTTCTCTCCTCGCTGCCCTGTGTCTCATCATTCGGTGTATCGGTCCTCGCGGGTTCCTGCGGTTGAGCAGGACACCCAACTATCGGGCGAAATAGAAGCGAGTTCGCGCCGCAGGCATTGGTTTTCATCTGTTCCGCATTATTCGATCAAGGTCAAGACTTGACAGCATTTTGCAGACCATCTCCTGGACATCGAACACTACCGACATTTATATATCAGCTAAATGTGATCAGCAGTTAAAATATTAAATCCTCCACAATTTCCCTACGAAATATGCGTCACATTCAAAATTTTTGTTTGACGGTTCTATTTTATAACATGTCTATTTCTTCACATTGAGCTCCTTCTGTTAATTCCATAAACCTTCAAACCCTTTCTTAACAAATCGTGTGCTAATTCTTCAAATATCCCAGCTCGATTAGGAAAAATGGCTCCATCCTGGTATGCTTCGCACATGAAAGAAAGTACTGTATTGTAGTTAGGAATCCTTTTTTACCATACCCAGTACCCCTTTGGTACGTAAAGGATAATACTGGAGACAAATATCTGTTGCAGCTTCCTGTGCACATTAAAAAAAACCGTCGTTCAATATGATGGGATTCGTGGCTCGAACTAAGAAAACTGACGCATATTTTATGCCACCCACGCAGTACATTCACCAGCAGTCAAAAAATTCTGGTCTACAGTATTGTACTACAGATGAAATTGAATCTTTCGTCAATTTCATCGCGATCATTGATCAATTATTCCACTGGTGAATACAGTACTTCCGCTTTTCCGAACAATAACGGAAACGCGGCGCTTTAAGTTCTGCCTAGTCATCAGCGACGGTACATATGGATTCCGCTAAAAAGCACAAAGGATATTTCATGGATGCACGCTGTCGAATGAATCACAATTTTCTATCACACTTCCTAAATAAAAAAAAAATGAAGGCATCCACGGTCACAAATTTCCGATTGTGATGAAATGACAAATACTGTAAAAGTATCATTATGATGGTGAAATCATTCGCAAACATACCCATACAAAGCATTGATAAATAAAGGGACGCATCAGCTTTGCTCGAGAAACATTCAATTCCTCAAAATAACGAAGCACATTTCAGACAGAAGCAAAGAACATATACATGCCAAATAAATTTCTTCGCTGAACACCATCCGTAGACCTCAACATCGAACATGAGAACTCCATAAAAATAAAAATGGAAAATCACGTTGGCCCTCGAAAGGAATGACGTTTTTCTCAGATTAACACAAGATATAAATTGTCCTTGATAGAAATTTCGCTCAATCGCTGATAAGGACGAAAAGGAAATGCACGAACAATGTCGCATACAACCAATTTTAAACGAATCGATCCAGTAAATCTAACACTGTATCCGAACAACACTACGACTTAACAATAAAAACAATAATCACGGCAAACAATAAAAACAATAATCACGGCAAACAATAAAAACAATAATCACGGCAAACAATAATCATGGCAAACAATAATCACGGCAAACAATAATCACGGCAAACAATAATCACGGCAAACAATAATCACGGCAAACAATAAAAACAATGATCACGGCAAACAATAATCACGGCAAACAATAATTACGGCAAACAATAAAAACAATAATCACGGCAAACAATAAAAACAATAATCACGGCAAAAAATAAAAACAATAATCACGGCAAACAAAAATCACGGCAAACAATAAAAACAATAATCACGGCAAACAATAAAAACAATAATCACGGCAAACAATAAAAACAATAATCACGGCAAAAAATAAAAACAATAATCACGGCAAACAATAATCTCGGCAAACAATGAAACAATAATCACGGCAAACAATAATCACGGCAATCAAGAAAAACAATTTGCGCATTTTTCGTTCCACATCTTTCAGCTTTTTGGCTCGCATTCAAGCGTCAACGCTACGCACAACGCTCGTATTCCTGAGAAGGTGCTCGTCGCGGCGGTCCTGCGAAAAAATCAGGGGTAAATGCATTAAAACCAAACTATAAATTCACTAATACCGTGAATGTTTGCGTTTTAAAGCAAAACGAATCCGATTCCGACTGTTGGAAGCTTTAAACGGGCATCTTTTCCTAATCAGAAACTTAGAGCTTTCAGTTTGATTTTTTGCCCATTTTACCACACCAAAAAACCGCACAAGCGCTTTTCCTTGTTGGCGTGGGAGTCAGGAACGTTTCGCTGGATTTTCCTGACTAGTTGAGACAGTCCGGTCATCAATTTGATTTTTCTTTGTTCTGTTAAGAACAGTCAATTCAGAAACAGAAAATGAAGCTGTAATCATTGCATTGCAATGAGTGATGTTTGCTTCAATTGAAAATTCATCTCCAGAATTTATCTTTCTTTCTATGTTCATGTGTCACTTGAGCAATGAAAAACGAGTAATCGGCAGAATGAAAAATGGCGTAGAAATTTATGAGTATATACTGTACTTACTTATTAACTTGCAAGAAAACGAGAAAATATCCAGATGAGATGGAAGGGAATCACTAAAAAAGGTACTTAGGTGCTTTCAATGGAGATTAAATTAACATGTGATGCCACGTGACAAGTTAAATTATCACTTATCAGACTGCAAGGGTTTATTCGCTATTCAAGATGAAGCATGTTTGGAACTACATCAGAGTATATGCATAAATAGTTAGAAAGGTAACGAAGAATTTTATAAAGCTATGACTGATCAGAAATTCGTCCCCATTCCATGATTGCGTGGATGCTTTTCAATAAGAAAATATTCTCCGATTTAATGGGAGGAATACAAGAAAAATGCATAAGGGACACGTAGTGATGGGACTTAAGGCACTGACACTAAAGCATCTTTTCCGGAAACCAGTATTTAAGTTTACTACTGTAGAGCTGAATGGCACATTACCCCACGCCAAAAATGAATATAAAAAAGAAAGAAAGCAAGAAAAAAGGAAATTTGAATCATTTCGGAAAATACAGTTACTATGTATTCCAACTGAGTTTTTTGTGAGTTGGGACTTGTGAATGAATTCAAGTTCCACCTAATGAACCTTTTAAAACTACATTCCGATTACTTCACACATTCCTCGGACTGCGGTGACTGTAAGGCCGGACAGCCCCGTCTACTCAAGAGAATCCGGAGGTACGCTACTGATACCGGACAGTGCTGACTACTACACCAGCCTCTTCGCGAGATATGAATCCCGTTGATGTCACAGAACCACCTTGAGCAAATTCTTGAACATTCATTTTCAACCCATCCGTCAATAACGAGGACATGGCAAGATTCAAGCGTGGGGAGGTGCCCATGCACCTTGGTTACCTTATTCTACAAAATTTAGGGACATTGTAATATTCTGCGCAATGGTAAAAGCGAAGTCGGTGTAAATTACAGTTTCAGTATGCCAAGGTCTAGACAAAATTCGTACTGCGTGGGTTACTCACACTTGTAGAACCACGAGGAAAAATTGAAGAAGCTAGCTTCACAGCAGAAGCTAAAATTGATCGCGAAGAGACTGCCTTGAACGAAAAAGAAGTCGCCAAATTCTCTTGCGGAGTATCGAAATTCGTTTCATCGTCGTCATCTTCGCCTGGGCCAAGAGCGCAACTCTCCGATTGACCGATGTCGGCCGATTCTGAATCTTCAATTACATCCACGATACGTCCAGTGGTTCTCCTACAGTACAGAAAATAAAATATTTTCCAAGATTCGTACATCGGCAAAAATTAGAAACACGCTTCGAACAATTGGTTCAACGGGAGCCTCACGTAAGCAAAATTCAGATAAAAACGTAAGGTACTTAAAAAAAAATTCACTCATCAGAAAAAATTGATTCTTGAGCAATATGGTTCGGAGTGAAGATAGGAACATGCGTTTACGACAGTAGAGTGGAGTACCGTCATTCGGACACACCAACATCCGAACAAGAGGATTTTCCTACATCCGTGCAGTTTCTAGAGTTCCGAACAAGTTGCTGACGCAAGTCCAAAAACGTGAAAATATCACAGGATGCGAGAAAGATTATACAATATTTAGAGCAACAACAAAATTTGTAAGTTTACATTTCTTTTTAAACATTTTGCACTCAGTGAAACAAGGGAGAAATTCTGGCAGTAACAGGAAATTTTTCACTTCTCATCAAGCGGTGTACTTGAAAAATATTCTACGGGAACCCTGCTTACCCACACGTTCCCATCCCCGTCCTGCGCGCAACATTCTTTTTTTTTCTCTTTTTTCTTTTTTACCCGCATTTCGAAATTACTAAAATATATGAAGACGTGCAACTCAACCCATTCCACCTCAGAAATGGATTCTATTCCCCACATTTATTTTCCTTTTTCGGGTATTAACCATCTCAGCAGTTTCTGCCAAATCTTCTTGGTTCATATTCATATACAGTACTGTACTGTGTGGAGCACTATCAAGCGAGAGCAACGACGTACTATCAGACAACAAACCTTGCAAAGTTATGTAAGTCCTCCTCCAGCTCATCGTCATCCGGGCTACCAGTGGATTCCATACGTCGTCGTCTGGCCTCGGGAGGTTCACCATTCGTTACCAAACGCATATATTTATACTCCAAACGACGGGTTTTCTTGTACAAGTACGACAATAGGACGCAAAGCAGGAGACATGCACCCACCGATGCGGTCACGGTTAACTAAAGCAAAGAAGAACAACAGAACGATCAGAATGCACAGTTGGGCTTCTCGAAAATTAGACTGAAGTACTGATTATACAGTACTGTACTGTATTTTAACCAGCAAACTAAAGACAGCTTAAATGCCTCACTTACTTGTATTGATACCGGAATTGCATTAATGCAGGGCTTTCGTTCTTCCGCAACGAAATCAACAACAGGAATACAGCTGTTCGTAGGGAAACGGTGAATAATCTGCATTCCGTCCGTACATTCTCCTTTTACGATCCTGAAAGGATGGAAACGCCGGTACTAGATCAACACTACGAGCTTCGGATGCGAAAAACTGACGGCGAAGTGGAATTTATTGAAACAAAAACAAATCAACCCCGGAAAATAAACACTTACATATACTCCGAATCTGTGCATCGTGAACACGCGTAGGATGTTTTCCAAAGGATATGATACGTACATCCATCACAAGTGGAAGCAGGACACGAAGGCGGGAATGACTTCTTCCCTCCTTTAATTTCACTTGGGTCGCAGCGCATTGTTATAATAGTAGCTCGACCTTTCGGGCAATTTTCATTCTGGTCCCTGGAAATAGTATTTTACCTACAGCCTGGAACTCATTTCAAAATTCCTTTGCGACTTACCCTACGGTTTTGTAAAAGAAATGAACGTCTTTCGTGGGTACATCCGGTTTTTGCAAAAAATCCTCGTGAACTCTCAAGTCACCCAAGTAAGGAGTTCGGGTCACGCCGACAAGCCGATCTCCCAAACTAATGGACTGGATTGCAAGCGAGCGGGGCGCTGGGTTGTCATGCGAAGAGCGTATCTTGCGACGGTCCGGGACGATAGTGCTTCGACAGATCATTCCCGCCACCTACGAAATATTGTAAAAAAATTTAAAAATGCACAAAACAAATAAGAAATTACTGGCTCTAGGACCGAACTTACAGATTCTTCCATCAACGCAACATCATCCGCATCCAGTGAAACGTTGTTCCGACAAACTGCCAGTGGCTCACCACATAAGCTGACGTTGAACAAATGAAAATACCAATTTCCGGCAACAGTGAAGAGCTTAGCTTCTGTTGCTAAGCTAGGTTTACTGAAAAAAAGCAGGGGAACAGATTCTAAGTTAAAGAGGAGACACGAAGAACGATGGTAAAAAATTATACCATCGGATCACATCTTTCGAGTCCTATTCAGTCGTACATATCCACGCTATGAACTCCTTCTGCTCTAAAAAATCAACAAATGAGTTCATAGCGTGGATATGTACGACTGAATAGGACTCGAAAGATGGGCTCCTCAAGAATTCGTCCTCGGACGCATTGGTCCTCGTCCCAGGCCTGGGTAGAAATGCAGCCCCTGAATACTTCAGGGGCTGCTGTAATAGTGTGGTTTTGGATGGACGATGGCATCCCAACATTTCAGATTTGACCAGCGCTCCCTCTCCGGTTGCACCGCAAGTTGTCTAGTAGCCCCCGCCTCCCCCCGCGAGGACGGATTGTCGCGAGGCCCATTCCTACCCAGTCCCTAGGACGAATTCTCCCAGGGACGATTTCCTTAAGGACGAATCCTCCCGGAGCGGCTACGGCTCTATCCTGCCAGCCTAAATCTTTTCGAAAATGTCTCATTTGAAAATAAAAACTCACTTAGAAAGTGGAGAAAAATCGAACGTTTTTCCGTCCCAGGTGTAGCTACAGTTCGTCATGCAGTACTGACGATTCGGAGCAGGAAAAAGACCTGGACCGCATTTTACACATGATTCGGGTCCTATTTTATGTTGAAAGGAGCTTCCAGCAAGAACTGTGTCTGACGGACACGGAAGACATCTTGATCCCACATTGCTGCCATTGGGATGACGAGTTTCGGGTTGAACGTAGTACCCAGTTGGACATGGAATGCAAGAACTTCGGGGATTCTGCAATGGAGCAGAAAACCGCAGCAGCGCAGAACTCTCACTTTGAGCTGTCTTTTCTTCAGTTGGGATCTGTAAAAATAGCGGGAACGTACGTTATTGCTATGACCTCGTAGACCATCATGTTAATCACCTCTGGACAAGGAATACATTCCGCTGCTCCTCCAACAAGTGTATCCGTCACATTTATACTAAAAATACGCACAACGGCCAACTTTTTGCCGTCATAATCGTTCGCTGGATTCTTCAGGTTCGCCAGAACATCGGCGTCGTCATATCGTAGTTGGAACGCCCAAGAAAACGAAAAATTCAAATTCTGTACAATGATATGCTCATACACTTGGCGTCCGGTTGTTTGGTTCCAGCTTGCCCCTAGCTTGCTACTTTTTTTTCCTACGGACTGCATCGTGATATTGTGTTAGAAGCGCAAAAAAATAATGAGTAAAAATCACGAATCGCACCTCCAAAAAGGTTAGCTCACAGGGGAGCTGACAATCAAGTTCGAACTCAAATCGTAACGTGGCAACCGAGGACAGATGGCCCTCACTTTGCACCCGAAAGCCAGGGACATCCAATATCAGCACGGACCACAGAGCATCAGCTTCTCTCCCATTTAAGAGAGCTTCCACATGCGTATCTGAGAGTACCCAGGTTTTCGAAGAGCATTTGGTTTCTAATATAACAAATGAATCATCTGTTAAGTGCGCAAGTATCAGGAATGAAAGAAGAATAACAAACATGTCGTTGTCAACGGATAGTTAAGAGCAATGAAATGAGCACCTTTTTCAACAGACATGCAAGTAGAAGCAACATGCTCAGGCCAGCGGGTCCAACGATTGATGTACAGTCCATATTTTGGCATCGTTGACGGAGGACATAACCGACAAGGCCCGAGTCCATCGGAAAATTCTCCCTCGGCGCAGTAAATACAGTGCGTTGTCCCTTTACCGAATGGCCGCGCGGCTATTTCCATTCCAGGGTTACACGGTGGGCAAGGTACTTTTAATCCCGACTGCGGCAGCCGCAAGGATCCTGGTTGATCATCGCGACAAATCTTCGGCTGAATCCACTCATACTGTATCGTCGTCTATACATCAGATAATCATCCATTCCGTCAAACTTAAAACAGATCACACTAACCCCATGAAAATAATTTCATGAATTTTGGAGACAATTGCGAACCTGCTTGAATTCATCACAAGGTGAATGCGATTCTACATAATCCTTCTTCAAGCAAACTGGACGATCAACGCAAAATGCGGAACCAGGAGTAGAAAACTGATTTTCCAGGCATCTTTCACACGCGTTCGACCCTTCGTTGGATCTTGTATTCTCTGGACAGGCTTCGCAATAACTCGCTCCTTCGGCGCTGTAAGTACCAGCTGGGCATTTCGAGCAATTAGAAATATAGCCCACACCTGGAGAATGAGACTCGAATAGCTTGATGGCAGCAATGGCAGCGAGAGCAAGCGCCCAAAAGTATCGAAAAGTACAATGCCCTGGAAGTTTACCTGATACATGGATTCTTTGTATCAGGACGGGGTGAGATTCGTCATATAACCCCAGCGTCTTCCATCGCAGAACATTTGGACCTGCACTCAAAGGAACAGTTATGTTTCGCCATTCACCCCGGGCAGTTTTTTGGGGCATTTCATCGTGTTCATCGTTTTGAGGATCCACATTGATGTATTCACATAGTTCATTTTGAGCCTGGTGAAAGAAATCCAATGAAGTAGAGGTACTGTATACGCGAGGAATTGCGACTTCGAACTCAGAATGAGAAAGGAAAATCATGAAGACTCCATCGGCAAAACGGAAGAGCATGAAAGAGAAAAAATTACGGACTGATACCTCGAACACAAATAAAACGTTTTCACTATCAGGATACTGATAGGTGAAAGTCAGTTCTCCCTTCTGAGTCAATTTGACAGCCAAAATTAATGCGGATACACAAGGACCAACTCCAGACTGGAGGTAATCACCACGAGGTTTCCAGTCATACCTCATGAGTTCCAAAACGCCGAAGCAGCAAAAAATTGAGAAAAACAACAGCATAAAATATTGCATTAAAAATCTGAATCTTCAATTATTTGAAATGTATAGGCGACGTAAAAATAAAAACCTCCGTTAGACTTACTTGTCGCAAATGGAGGTTTGAAACGACGCATGTAACGCCTCAGAACGTTGCAAGAACTCAGGTGGTACCGAGGACCATTTGTTGAAATTCAGTGCATCACCAACAGAATAATAACCTGCTTCACAGGGCTCACAGGATAAATTTGAAGAGTCGAAATAATAGCCCGGGTTGCACGTTAAGGCTGACGGAAAACGGGAAAATACAGATGAAATGTGACGAAGATCCAAACAAGAATTCAATTACAGCAGTCTGGGAGAAGTATCGGGCTCTGCTTAATAGCACCGGGAAGCTTGCAGCTTTCGGAATTGGGAACAGCAACTCTCCATCGCTTAGACATATCGTCACACTCAGTGAAGACGAAGTGATACCCATCCTGTGAAACAAGTAATTGATATCAGAAGAACCAACGGGCGACGTCCTTTACTCACCTTGGAGCAATCATGACCGAAAGCTCTGTCATAGATGTAAGCATAAACAAACAAAAGAAAAACTTCAGTTCCAATTCTAAACCGAAGCATCCTGCAATGGAATGCCAAAAGCATGATTTGTACCCCACGGACTGGTAAATCGATCGTAAATACTGGGGCATTGTACTAATGCGCATTTGATCATTTCGGGAAACCAGCGCCCTTGCAGAAATTCAGGTTTTTCTCCATAGAAGGACACGTGCAAGTTCAAAAACGTTCCGTCTACAGAAATACAATAGTAACTTCGAAGAATATTTAGAACGTCAAGAACCATCAATACCAGTCATTAAGTTGAACCCATTAAACAATTTTAATTTTTACTGCAAACTTGCACAAATTGTTAGGCATCAGACACAAAAAAACGTTGTCCCTTTCACTTATCAGATCCGCGAAGATAGCCAGCTAAGTAATGTCAAATGCATTAGTACAGTGCCACTCAGCATAAACAAACAAAAAATGAGGAAAAGACGTAGGTGAAGATCAAATGAGGAAAATGTATTCGCTAGGTTACGTCAAATCAGAACGAATCACAAGGAGCAAGCCCCACAGGCACATCCGACGCCACAGTGCTTCAAAGTTGCAGTTCTTCCTTCGAACTCCCTGAAACGCATGAAGAAAAGGATATTGCATTCATAAGGTGATCAGAGCACTTAATTCAAAGCCTGAAAGCGAATGAGATGAGAAACACCTTTAACCCATTTCAATGTGGGCATGGGCCCTAGTCTCTGCGCGCACCGAAATTTTCCTTTCTACAGCGCATTCAATTCAGAAGTACAGTACTGCAGAGCGATTTATATGATCATATTTTTCGGAAAGGCCGTTCCGAGACGTTTCCCATCTTCCAAATTTTGATTTTCCATAGTATTTGCTTCTTGCGGGATGATAAAAAAGGCACTCAATTCCTCCCATGCGTGCAATAGATGGCTGGGCATTCCACGGTTCGGGCAACTTTTTTAGAGACACTGTCGCACAGAAACGCGGCAGGGAAAATTAAATGATCATCTCTCCGAAGTAAGGAATTACTGCACAGGAAATGGAAGATGGCTGATTCATTTTCTTCCGCCAAATAGATGAAGGCAAAATCAGGCGGAGCAGAAAAAAATTCGAAGGAAGAAAATGAATGCGACATCACTTCGCAATAATCTGAATGGTACAACTATTATGCACGGATACTTCGATTAAAACAAGGTCATCTTCTAAGAATGTTAAAAATTCGACAGTGCACGGAGATGACAGTCATCGCACATGCCACATCAATGAATTATGAACGGGATCAATAAATACAGTACAATGAAATACATAACTTTCAAACGTCGAAAAATCCAGCGAACATGTGTTCAACGCAACAGCTCCGCAGGAAAAATACGACCTATCTGGACCACCGCTTCTTCAATCGAAAACTTCAAAATTAGACAATCCTGTTCCAAGATAAATTCGCTAGAAAATAAGATCAGCATACAAAACACAGTGAAATACGTGGTGATTGTAGGATATCCACAGTAATGTAGAACAGAAATTTCGCGGTCAACAATACAGATACCAGAATCAACGGCACGTTCATTTGAGACCTCGAACAAATGGATAAAATCACCATTGGAACGAACAACGCCGACAAACCTGATGAAAACTAAGTTGAATTTTAGCATTAATAACATGGTAATACAATCTTGAATAATATGACGGAGCGCCAATCGGCTTACGTGGACCACAACTTCTGATTCATCAAGGGATTACGAACACTTAAATTCATCAGGTTTGAAGTCATGAATAACTCCACGGAAGACTGATATTTTGTCAATACGAACGATGGAATTTGGAAAAAAAAAATGGATGAACCGGTTACATCGGAGAACACAGGTGTACACCTGGACTTGCTTGCCATCCGAAAAGGACGAACGAGCGTTCTGACGAACTCACGAAAAATGTGATTCCAGGCGACAGACGAACTACGATGAACATAAACCATCCTGCCACACCTGTGAAGCAATAACACGCTGAACTTCCGATTGTGCGGAAAAGGAAGAGAGAATAATTTACATAAATACATAAGAGGCGAATATATCTTAGCAATGATGTATTTCCTCTGGAAAAATCAAGTGAATACACACCTCAAGTTCATAATCTTGCTGCTGCAAACGCTAACGGATATCAGTAAAAGCACAACTTACGTCTAAGAAATAGAGCGGTTGCCTTACGAACAAAACGTTGCAAGGAAATATATCTTACTTCCAGCATACAGCTAAATAAAAATAGACTGGATCACTGAAAAGCTTCTCTTAAAAAATACCTGACGACACACGCTGAGAAGCCATGAAAACCACTGCAATGAAACGATTCTCTAGAAGATTCAGGATGAAATAATAGTCGAAGAAAATTCGCCATACCTAGGAAATGTTCAACTTACAATACATTACTGAAACAGTAACAACAATTGTCAGGACGTTTACGAGAACTACACCAAGATGAAGCAAGCAAAAACACAATACGCACAAAAATTAATTCCATCAGAGTGATCATTCCCAACGACACAAAATATGTATTCAATTTTGTAAATCTCCCGTGCAAGATACTCGTCTGTGACATGAACGAATTGAAGGGGTACCGGTAACCGTCAGAAGGCGAGCTAGTTCGTAATTATTAAGCAGCATACGCATCCAAGAAACCAACACAATATTTCCGTCAAGTTATATCCTCCATTCCAGAAAGATCGAACTACCAGTACACATATTGATAATGATCACATTCCGCACGAGTGCATGCAACGTCAAAACATACGAAAATTTATCAGAATAACTTTGATAACTGCAAATCCTCGCATATGAAAAACTTGGGACCTGCTTCATGCCAACAACGTGGTACGCACGCAGACGTAAAATAACGCCGTATCAGAAGATTTTCAGGGAAGTGAGTTCACATTATTCCAGAGAAAGGGACTTTGGACTGGGCGGTTCGCTCGGTCACTTAACTGTTCCTGAAGCTCAAAATAACGTGCGATTCTCATTGAACATCGTTCAAAATTCGACTCACGGGACATCAAGACAACTACGTCGCAGTCGTAACTCAGGTAACCTGAAGGATTGTAGAAAATGGACCCTGAGAATGCATCAAAGCAAATTTGTACGAAAAAACTAAAACAAATTTACTCAACGAGATTTTTTTTTATTTGTAGATCTGAGTTCAGGCAGAGCGAGATGCCGACGGCTGGGCAATTCACTAAGAGATCTTTCACAGGGTTTCCACCTGCACAAACCTACACCAATCGGCGGATTTCTCGTCGCCAAGCTCATATACGTAGTAAAAAAAAGTATCACCGAAGAATGGCATACAAATTAACAAGAGGTTGAATTTGATTCAAAAAAACCAGACATGAACAAAAACCAGCGCATCAAGTGTGTGACAACGGAAATATTGAACCACGAACACAGGAGGAGAAACAAAAACACAGAGAACTACCCGAGAAAAGATAATTGCCCATCTCATTGACTTGCAACTTGCGAAAGTCTAGGAAAGAAGAGAACACTCATTTGAAAGGTATAAAATTGATATGGAAATCGAGCGCCTAAGAAAATTTCCAAAAAGAAGAAACAAAGCACGAGTCGCCGGTTCTTTGCGAAAATTTTTGTCGAATACCGCACGGATTTACTTGGCAGATGACTTCCCTGGAAAGCAAGTAAGAATAGTTGACGAAAGTTGAATTTTTAAAATCTTGAGAAGCATCTCACTGCTTTTCTTAGACGGTGGTGCAGCAGAAACACGAACAGCACGACGCCTCAACTGGCGGTACTCGACCGGCTCTCCTCCTTCGGTTTCCGGTTCGCCCCTTTCGGCTTTCGGTTCGTTCAATTCAATCGTCTCGGTAGCTTCCTGAATTTTCAAAGTTCGAAATGGATCATTCACAAATCAGAATTCAGTAAGCGCTTCAAAATGGTACCTTTTCTTTGGCTTTCCCAGGTCTACGTCCACGCTTTTTGGGGGACTCCACTTCAGCATCGGACGTCTCCGGATGCTTCTTCTCATCCTTTTTCTCTTCCATAGAGACCTGTGCAAATATAGTCATGCTCTTCAATACTCAGCGCACGAAGTGAAATACTGTATACGAGAAGGCGTGCGGGAACAAGTACCCGGTGAAAGTTATTTGGAAAAGCCACTATGTAAAACCTTGTTTTAACAATAGCCATTAGCATTCAGAAGAGTTCAACCTCATAATAGTCCAAACCAAACGCGAAATTGACGTGCCTCCAAACTCTCCACTTCTTTCTTCTCAGGCTGAGCATCGGCGCTCGAGGATAACTCTGCTTCGGGTGCAACAACCGTGACGACAGCTTCGGCTTTCTCCTCCTCAATTACAGCGTTCGAGGTACCCGTAGTAGCAGGAACTTCATCGCCATTTCCTCCAGATTCAGGAGAAGTCGTCTGTGCAGCCTAAAAAAGAATCACATACTTCAAAATTAAGACACCAAAAATAAATCCCATGAATTAAAACCTCCTGAGAAGTGACGGGGGAGACCTTCGGAAGGGGTTCATCCAACTGCTTCGCCTCGTCCTCAACAAGCTTGACCTAAGCAACATGCAATTCACAATGATACACGGAGTAGGAAATATCGAATTGCTCACTTCTTCCACAATCGGAGTCTCCGCCACAACGGTGGGAGGATGTTCATGTTCATCTTCTGCCTCAGATTTCAAAATTCCGTTCGAAGTGCCATTTTTCATTTCTCCTTCTTTCTCAGCTTCGACGGGCTTGGAATCATCCTTCGCAATCATTTGTAAGTAACGCAGGCACTTGAAGATTTGTAAAACAGGCATTTAAAGATATTATCCTCACCTTACTGGAAATCAATTTATCGACGGAAGTTTCCTTTTGAGCCGCAATGTCTCCATCATCGAGAACAATAGAATGCTGTGGAGGAAATGATACTACACCGGAAATCAAATGCAAATCAAGTGGAAAAACAAACCTTCTCATTTTTCGGTGCAGCGTTCTGCTCTCCTCCATCGCTGTTGGTTTTCCCGGTCTCGACCGTATCCACAGGTTCATTCACACCCAACATAATGGTATTTACATATACCAGATTGACGGAAAGAACTACTCAGAATGTTTCTTCACTAGCACACGTACGTATCTAAAAATATACATGGGGATGATACATAATCCAAATGAAATCGGAAGGGCAAAAATGTTTTCTGGCCCGCTTTAAAAAAATCACCAAAGAACACCCCACCGATCTCGAAGCTACGGCGCACACAGTTTACTATTCTAATTGACGACACACAGAGAAGAACCACGGTTAGGCCGTGGACGCCGACACATTTCACTACTACCTCCATCTATACAGGCGTTACCCATCTACCGTTGCTTCTACCGTTGCCACTGTTGTAGGAGACTTCTCCTTATATGTACTGTACTTCCATAGTGTTCCATTAAAAATGGGGCCAGGGATTGTGGCTTTCATTGTTGGTGACCTAAGGGCATTACGTGGATGTTTGCCCCTCGATTATGGGAGATCATCCCAAGCGTTTCGATTTTATTTCATTTTCATTCTTGCATTAAACAAATGGTGCGTAGTCAACATGCAGCCGAGGCCTTTCACGCTGGGCTGTTGAAAATAAAGCCTTCGTTCTGCGGCCCCGCATAATTAGAGATGTACGTTTTGTCCCGCAAATAAGTGTAGTGTTTCACCGCTGCTTAAATATCACAACACCATTTCTCTCCTGGTCCAGAATTTACCTTACCAAAAAATAACTTCCGATAATATGTAATTGTGAGTCAGGAAGTGTGCATACATACCCTTCTTACCGAAGTTAATATCTGAGCTGCTAAAATGTGAGCCAGTGTGCCCCCAGCCAGTTTGGCCCCCTGGCCTCTCACTCCCTGAACCCACCACTCTCTCCTTGAAGCTAACTGATGAGAGACTTCAGAATGCCTGTTGGCCAGGTTGCACCACCTCCCTAATGCGGACTTCCAGTCCAGTGTGGTCTTTTACCAGTTCACTACTGGGTCTGTCTGAGTGTCCTATTTTATCCAGTTTAGTACTGTTTATGTTCTTGCCCTGTGTGGATGTGAATCTGTAAAATATGAATAATCTGATGGAAAAGCAGTTGAGTGCAAGTAATTATGATAGAAGTTTTGGAAAACCCCGTGCATTGTAGTTTCGGACCGAAGAAACCAGCTGATGAAGAAATATTCGGTGTGGAACTGTTGAAGCTGTGAGAAAAGATGATGCAGGCGATTGAAGTGAGGTTTGCCCTAGGAAGTGACGAGAGCACTAATTATTTGGATATAACCTCGATCAGAAAGTTGAATAAACTTGTACTGCACAATGTTTCCGTTGATGACTGAACCTTATCTTGGGAGTGGCGTCGGCGGCAACTGCCAAGATTCTTTGTGAAACCGTGAGTAGCCGATAATGCGCGTATCCTGTATTTCACAATTGGATTACTTCGACAGTGAACCCGTCGTTTCCATGTTAGTATCGTAGTTCGCGCCGCGTAATCATGGTCAGCCGCGCGTCCTCCACGCCAGAACATGTCACCAATGAAGCCTTTGTACATCGCATTTCCGATAGCGACGAATCAGGTGAAGAAGATCCGCTCAGTGCCCTCTGGATATCCAATAAATCTTCAGGTTCGCGAAAAGTGGGAGCAATTTTATACAACAATTTCAGTCATTCATGCTGTCATTTTCCTCAGGTAAACGCCCTGTCGAGAATGAAACTGATGCGGATTCATTCAAGAAAAGAAAAGTTTCCGAAAATCCTACTGAACTTCATGTAACCGAGTGTGGAGAGAATCTTCATGATAGCTCATTATTTCGGAAGGCTTCTCCTATTAATATTTTCTTGACGAAAGTGGTTGATCTGCCGGCAACTCATGTTGAGAATCACTCGGCGAAATTTTCAGGTGAATTTCATAAGTTTTTAATCGAAGAGTACCTACCATCCTTGGAGCCCGATTCTTTTCTGCGACAGATATAATCAGTGCTCGTATCGGGAAGCTGAAAAAATCCATGCAGATGGCGATGCTTGTATCTGTTCCGTGGGTTTTAGAGGTTTATAGGCAGGGTACAAATGTGTAAGCTATGCTTTTCGTGGTGTAATATCTGCTTTTGTCTCATTCTCATATTTACCTCCTGTCAGGGATCATGACATAACGATCGTCGGACAAGCGCATCAGGTGGCCCATAGTAAAAGATTGCCTAACGTCACTGTCGTAGAGATCCGTCCGAAAGAAGTTTTTGGATCACATCACACGTGAGCTGTTAGTTGTTGTCATTAAGGCCACAATTTCTGATTCCCTAGAATTTGTAGCAAAATGATGCTCTTGGAGTATGAAAATTGCTTGAGAGTTGTCGTTCATACTGCGAACCTCGTCCCGGAAGATTGGTATAATAGAACTCAGGGGTAAGAAAGCATGTTTCCATCTGTGTATCTTACCAAAATTTACCGAATTGTGCTCGACAGACTTTGGATCAGCCCTCTGTTTCCTCGAATTCCTGTCAATGAATCTTTGGACAAGAAAAGTAAAGATTCAAAAACTCACTTCAAGCGTGACCTCATGCGGTACATTTCGGCGTACGATGTCCTTGAAGTCAAGATATGGAATGACACAATTATCGAGTACGACTTCACAGCAGCCAAGTAAGCACAATCTTCGGTTTACTGGGGGACTAATTTGAGGAAAGGTATTTTACAGTGCATTCTTCATACCTCACGTACCTGGTTCCCACGACAGCTCCATCGGCCCGAAATACGGACTGGAATATGTTTCCCACATTTTAAAATTACACGGTGGATCTTACGGAACGTGGCCGCTCTGCTCGCAGATCAGTTCAATCGGAAGTCTGGGTACCCACGAGAAAAGTTCCTGGTTTTTCAGTGAATTTTGCGAGGCTTTGAAGGGAAATGATCGAAAGCTGGAGAAGCCTATCGTTGTGAGTGAAATATGCAGCTGGTTCAATTGTTCGCCGGTTGTTTATTTTCTGATATTTAATGCCGCATGGAGTGAATTTTAATTTCGCTGTACATCATTTAAGATATATCCAACTGTCGAAAATGTTCGAACCAGTCTGGATGGATATATTTCTGGTGGATCGCTTCCGTACCAAAGCAAAACTCATTTTCGCCAGAAGTGGTTGGAATCTTATTTACAGTAAGTCTTCAGCAAATTCTTTCGAAGAATAATCGCAGCGTTTATGCGAAAGAGAATTTTTATTTCGAGTGCTGGAGAAAAATTCAGGCGGAAGTTTCTTTCCAGTGAATGTTTTTCGATTTGTGGGTCTGTCTTCATCAGTGTAAAGCTGAAAAGCACCGGTCAGGGAGTTTATTCCTACGAAGCGAATGAATACATCACGGCGTTACGATGTACTGTATACTCTTATCCTGTGCTTAACGCAGCTCGTGGTCAAGTGATTCACGTGGGAGAACATCAGCCTCGCCGCATATCAAATCTTATTGTCGGATTTCTCCGGATGGAAAAAAATGCGCATGGTTTCTACTCTCCTCGGCGAATTTGTCGCAGGCAGCTTGGGGCATCAAGCGACGAAATCATAAATTTTACATCCGTTCTTACGAAGCGGGCATCCTGTTGTTACCTGGTTTTGTGGTGAGTTGAGGCCTAGTTCTGGCGAAATGGTATAGTGGAATTTTTTATGCTTTTTGTCCACCAATGGTGTTTTTTTTTCGAAGACACCCAGAATAATGAAAATGAATTCCTTTGAACCACCGAACTGCTCAGCTCAGTCATTCGGAACCTCGGTGTGCATTGACATGGGATATTGAGTCATGTTTTTTTTCGATCCTTCAAGACAGGTGACAGTCTGTTCGAGATTTCAAAGGGGGAGATAAAGGAGCCAGCGGATAATGTACTTTTGCATCTTCCATGGGACTGTCCACCCATGGCTTATACAGAGCATGATCAGGTGTGGTTAACTGATTTGGTATACAGGAAGCCTGATTTGTGTGGGAATATATGGCCGATCAGAGTTTGACGTGCTTGAATTTTCCAGAATATCTCTTGATTTCGAAGGGTTTATTATGCCTTTGAATTGTGATTTTCTTTTAATTTGGATGGGCAACCGCTGCATTCAACTTTTTCATGAAAAAATGAATTCATTGAAATTTGAAAACTCCGGGAAATCGTGAGGAATTCCCGTTGATAATACGATTTTCTTCTATTTTCAGTTCAATGTTTGCATTATGTGTGATTTCTACAGAATGTGCGTGACGTTTGCGGCTTCGCGTTACTGCTGATAAAGAGACGAGAAAATGACGAATGTGGAAAATTCATTGCACCCTGGAAATTGGATAGAGCAGAATTTCTCCCGTCGAGAATGTGTTCAAATCGTCCGAAGCGGGAAAGATTCTTCGAAGTAATCAGTTGAATTGGTAATACCCGTAGACTTCCATTAACGTAACGTTATCGTGCATAGGTGCGCTTGCGGTAGGCAGCTATGTGATCATCCAGTTTTTGCTGTGATCCCCGAAGGACCCGCTTTTAATGACTCGAAACAAGATTCTCCTGCTGCTGGATTAGCTTCAAATTCCAGCTCATTTTTGAAAGTTCCGTCATCGCGATCACGAGATGAAGAGCGATGGAGTTCACTGCGAAACACCGTTCAGTACCCAACAAATGCTTATGGGTATATAGAGTTTCAAGGAGGTTCTCGTCCATCGAAATCACAGGTGTAGCATTCTTTTTGTCTGTGATCACGTGCAAAAATTTATATTACGATCGAATGTCTTTAACTTTGTTCGCAGTACATCCGATTAACCGAAGATACTAGTTGCGAACATATATTCGAATTGTTCATGACCGAGTGGAGGCTGGAAATTCCGAAATTATTGATTACCATTCATGGAGGGAAACAAAATTTCGACCTGGATCACAAGTTCAAAAAAGTATTTAAAAGAGGCTTATTGCGAGCTGCGAAGACTACAGGAGCTTGGCTTTTTACGTCAGGATTCAATCATGGTTTGCTAGATACTGCATACCGATTATTTTTGTACATAATTACAACGACAGGGTTAATTCGAACAGGGGTAACGAGATATGTTGGAGAAGCTTTAGCTTCAGAGAAGTCTCTACTGGTAAAACCAGGACGCGTAACCAGCATTGGGATCGCACCTTGGGGTGTACTTGAAGGCCGGGAGATCTTGGAGAAGCGCAATCAAGAAGTTGCCTACCGTTGTCTCTCTTCCCCGCATTCAAAATTAGCCGTATTAAATAGCAGGTGCGTATGTCTTTCTACTTGGGTTTCCGTTCTGTCAATTGATAGCTTTTTTATTTTTACCTGCAGTTTTAGATTGTAAATGGCATCTGATCTCGCTCTTGCAGGTTATCACATTTTCTTCTTGTGGATAATGGCTCCGTTGGTCGGTACGGTTGCGAGGTGGCATTTCGAAGAAAGCTGGAAAAATACTTGACGAAAATGCATATTGAAAAGAGTAAGTGGAAATGGAAAGAGTAAACGTCGACCGTTTTGGAATTTTACCTGGCGAACAGTAATCCTGGAAATAAATTGTCTATTTAATTCTCGTACACAACTTTTACTGCAGTATTCTGCTGTTGATTTCGATCACATTGGGTTAGAGTTCAGAGGGAAGCTGAATAGTTTTTTCGGCTGATCCCACTTTTTTCCCCTCGTGAGTAGGTGAGACAGCGTCTTTTTCCGTGTGAAAAGAATATACTGTACTATTGTACTTGAGATTTTGATAAAGCTAAGGTACTGAGCTCCTGTGTATCGAAATGTTTATGATGGAAAGCTTGGCGCTCTTACGAAAGGAAGGATGGATATTTCAATAAAGTAAGATCACGTTGGTGTGATGATTGATCCAACTGTTCGTTGCTTAACAACTACGCCACTATGTAGGTTTTTACGGGACGCGTACCGATTTTCAAGACGGAAATCGTGAAAAAAGGCGTTTTAAACTTCATTATATTTTGCGGATTGGTTTTTTTTTTTCGTGGAATGTTTGTATTGAGCTCCGGCCTCTTTCTTTTTTTTTTTCTCCTCAGGCCACATGTGCAGTGTTCCTATGGTCTGCGTTATTGTTGAAGGCGGGCCGAATACGATTCGCACTGTTCTGGACTATGTCACCAATACACCGCCGGTTCCTGTGGTGATTTGTGATGGATCTGGCCGTGCTGCTGATATTCTTGCATACGCTTACAGGTGTTCAGTCAATCGATCATTTCCTTTCCCGTTTCTTGTATTCCGGCCGCTTACGAAGCAAAGTTAATTTTTTAGTTCCCTCATCTTTGGTTTCTTTTCTCAGCGAAGAAAAAAAAACTGTAGGGAATCGGTGTATGGTAAAACATAAGTAAGGCTATTGAGAGCGCAGATTATGAAACAAATTTATTTGAACTTTTTGATTGTTCGTGCAGTTCCTTCGCCTCTTTTTGTTGACCTATACTTCTTTTTTTTTTTAACACAGGAGTACATTTGTTGACGAGGAGGGGAATCAGGTGGTACGTGGGCGAGAATATCTGTTGAAAGCGATAATGGAAGCCTTTGGGTTCACATCGACGTCTCAAGCGGAACGTTCGTTGCTTGAGTGCCTGCTGTGCATCAAGCAGCGAGGAATGGTGTCGTCATTTTGAGGACTTCCACAGGATTGTGATGATGACCGATCTTATTTCCTAGATCACTTTATTCTCGATATCCACGGACGATAGTACTGTCGTGGAGGATTCAACAAATGGGTCATCGTACGAGCTGTCACGTGAATTGGACGAAGCACTTCTCGGAGCCTTGTTAAAAAGCCCTGGCCTCCCACCGGTGAAGCAACTGGCACTTGCTCTTTCTTGGGACCGTGTCGATATCGCACGAACTCAAATATTTCTATATGGGCAAGAGTGGCCGAAAGGTAATTTGAGATTGCATGAAATACTCCAAAGCCATTCTTGAAAAATTTTCAAACGAAGCGTCGTGTCTTCTGCTCACTGTACGTGTGAACATAAGGATATGTAGATCTCCGTGGTGAAAAATTGTTGGCCACCAGTTTCTTCGCAGAAGTCTTATTTTTTCACGAATTTTTTGTTCGGTTTTATTTTTTTGGTAGGGTCGTTGGAAGATGCTATGATGGATGCGCTGATCTACAATCGTTTGGACTTCGTTAAGCTGTTGCTTGAAAATGGTGTATCGATGAAGGAGTTTCTCACTGTAGATCGCTTGGAAGTCTTGTACAACTGCGTGAGTTTGAAGCTGAAGTTCATTTTGAGCATACCTCGAACTACGCTCACATTTTTCTCAAAAGGCAGTGAAAGAAAACTATGATAGTTTGATGGCGAGAGCTTTTTATCTGACGGCACGAAAGTTGAATTATAAGGTAAAATAATTGCATATCTCAGAGCCAGAGGCAGTGATTCAAAATAATTAATGTATTTGACTTAGGCTTTTTTTGATTGTGTGCACCTTTTCCTGTTCCCGCCATAATTAGGATTTTATTATTTACCTTTCAATTAACTATAAATTAGGAAGTATTAAATTTTATAAATATGGTACGCCTCAAATTTTGTGTCTGCGTTTCTGAGCTCTCGGAAACCCCTTGTTTTCAACTATCAGACGGAAGGACCATCAAATACTTTGAAGTACATAGTCGCCGATGTACGCCCGGGTGTGTCAGAAGATAGATGGATCACGCTTGTGGAGGTCGGGCTCGTTTTAAACAAGCTCATGGGAGGTGCCTTTCGGTCGTCGTATTGTCGCCGAAAATTTCGGCACATTTATATGGGTGCCGGAAAGCGTGCCAAAGGCGCGCCACCGTTTTACGCGTCCAGTTTAGTGCGGAATGCTTCTGCCTTTTGGTTTCCTCACTCGCTGAAGCGACATGGCGTTCACGTCATTGATCCAGCGATGCTGAATCAAGCTGTCTTCGACCATCCGTTCAATGACCTGATGGTACATTTGAATTTTTAAAATTTCAACGCTTCCCCGTACTTATGCTCTTCTTTCAAGATTTGGGCTGTTCTGACGAAACGAAATGATATGGCTGTTTTAATGTGGCAACATGGCGAAGAAGCTGTCGCCAAGGCTTTGATGGCTGTAAAGCTTTTCAAGGCGATGGCGTATGAAGCAAAAGACGACGACCTAGAAGTGGAAGTATACGAAGATCTCAAGAAATATGCGAAGGAATTCGAAGCTCGAGGTTTGTGAAGAGTTGCATTTTTATTCGTTAAGCGTTCCCGCATCATCCGTTACTATTCTGAACGATTGTTCATATGGTTTTTTTTGGTTGGTAAAAAAAAACATGTCCCGATGTGTCTGTTGTGCTGTACAGTATTTGTTTCTGAACCATGTTCCGGATTACGTTCCGTTGTTATAAACCATGTGAGAGAACTTCGATTCTTGAATTTGTTGAAATTTCAGAAATTTGCTGCTTAGACGTTTGAAAAACAGTTAAATTTCTATAAGAAACCTCAAACAACTTGTGTATTCTTCCTGAATATGCTCCAGCTTGGTTCAAACAAATTCCCAAGACCCGATTTTATCAAGTCTTATGCAAATTTTTTATGTCCATTTCAGAAGACGTTTTGAAGTGTACTCGTTGACAAATTTTATAATTTTAGCTGTTCAGTTGATGGATTTCTGCTACCGTCAAGAGCGTGAGCTCACGCAGCAACTGTTGACGGTCGAACTTAGTGCATTTGGACGGATGACCTGTCTTAGCTTGGCGTATGTGGCCAATCATAGCGAATTCTTGGCACATCCTTGTCCACAGATGTTGCTTGCGGATTTGTGGCTGGGAGGATTGAGAAGTCGCAAAAGCACAAACTTGAAGGTATCCTTGGAAGTTGAAAACGCTTTGTGTGTTTTTTTGTGCTATCAAGGTTTTCGTTCATCTAGGTTATTCTGGGATTGATCCTGCCGCCATTAATCATGAATGTATTAGAATTTAAAACTTGCGCGGAGCTGAAGCTTCAACCTCAGACCGAGGAAGAATGTGAAGACAAGTTTTCAGCTAGAAGTGTGATCTCAACATCTTCCAGCGCGTCCATTTGCTCTAAAGCTAGCACTGTGTCTGATCCCTCCTTATCTTCACGCATTTTTCGCCGGCGTCATCATAGCTCAACGAAGGATACCGAAGTGAGATTGAATCCTATGTCTTCCCGCTTTTAATGAATGCCAACAGTTTTTTGCGTTGCGCGCAGTTAGAACTTACGAACCAACACAAATCACTCTGTGAGCAAGGTAGCATGGAAGGTGCCTTTAGCGTTAAAAGCGAGGAAGAAGCAACCCATAATGATAGCCCTGTGCGAATCATGCCTGACCTGGAATCTCCGAAAAAGAAGAAGCACTGGCGTTCAGGTGGTAGCGGTTCGGAAGTTACGCACATGTTGCTGAAGAATGCGGATCAGGATAACGCTGGAAATACGAAAGCGGCCGTGAACGGTTCAAATTGTGATGCTAGATTTCCTTCGGGAATTTTAGGTCATCACGTGGCCGTCTTTGGAAATGAGGTTGAGACAAACATTCAGCTTCCTCTCAGCCAAAAAGCGTATGAATTTTACGCTGCTCCTGTGACGAAATTTTGGGCTCATGCGGTGAGTCGGGAACAACAACACTCCCATGAAATAACTCAGACAAGATTTCCGTATCTCCAGATATTCTATGTCTTATTCCTTTGGGCGTACACGTTTATGGTCCTGGTCAAAATGCCGCCAAGTTTTTCGTGCTTGGAAACCCTCGTCACCATGTACATCATTGCATTTGGGTCGGAGAAAATTCGTGAACTGTTCACACAGGAGCCGCACAAGTTTTCGTAAGTTTCAGTCGAGTGTTCTGTGCTTATGACGCTTGAAACACCTTCTTTGTTGACCAGGCATAAATTCGCCCTTTGGACTTCAAACCTTTGGACCATATGCGATGCGGTTGCCGTCACATTCTACCTCACCGGAAGTTTACTGAGATGTTTCGGATTTTCCGAATACGGACGGGTTGTTTACTGCGTAGATATAATGTACTGGTGAGTGACGTTTCCCAAAATGAGGATGATTGAAAATGACGAGTCCATGTTTCGGGGGTTTTATTTAAATATTATTTTTCCGATATGGTCTTGTCCTTTAAAAAAAATAATCTGAAATGTAATGCACTCCCGTCTTTTTGAACAATTTCAGGTACATCCGCATTCTGGACTTCCTGTCGGTCAACAAGTACCTTGGACCTTATGTAACGATGATCGGAAAAATGGTTTTGAACATGAGCTATTTCGTCATCCTTTTGTTCGTGATGATAATGAGTTTCGGTGTCGCTCGACAAAGTCTCCTCTTCCCGGGAAAGCCTTGGAGTTGGGATTTGTTGCGAGACGTCTTCTTTCAACCGTACTTTATGCTGTACGGGGAAGTTTTTGCCGCCGACATAAATCCAGATTGTGGGGAGGGAACTGCGATGAAATGTGTTCCCGGCATGTGGATAACCCCAATCCTGATGTCGGGGTACCTGCTCATGACAAACGTGTTGCTTATAAATCTGCTCATTGCTGTATTCAATAATATATTCGACGGAACAAATTCCATCTCACGCCAAATATGGATGTATCAGAGGTATTTCTGTTCCATTTAAATAGCCTTTCGTGTGTCAAAACTTTCATTCCTTTCCAGATATTCGGTTATCATGGAATACGAACAAAAGCCATTTCTTCCTCCGCCGTTCATTTTCTTGGCATACTTTTGGTTTTTTGGCCGATTTTGCATCCGCAGATGGACAGGAAAGGAAAAAGTGCGTTTTTTTCTCGTTTTTTTTCAATATTTATTCTACTTCTGGAATTTTTTTCAGACATTCGGACGTGGGCTTAAACTATTTCTTGATCAAGTTAGTTTGGAACGAGTTAATGATTTCGAAGAGGAATCTTTGGACACCTACTGTGAAGACATGAAACGGAAAGAGCAAGAATCTGTACCAGAAAGAATCAAAGCCATGTGTGAGAAGACGGAAAACATTTCCCTGAAGGTCAACGAAATCATGCAACGAGTTGATGTGGAGCTCGCTGGACTAGACATGCGTTTGGCGAGGTCAGATTTCAGCCGTTTCAGCGTGAAATTTCATTCTTTCCTCATATTTTGCTCATTTGCTCATCTTATTGTAATAAATATGCGGAGTGGCGTTCGTGCGAGATGAACATTTTTTTTCTGTTGTTAAAATCATGTTAATTTTCATAGGATGGAACTTGTTTTGGACTCGTGTTCAGACCGACAAGTACCGTTGTCTGCGGTTCCTCGGAGGGCGTCTCAGGAGAGACACATGTCCCCCGACAATGACGAACTCTTGTCAGAAATTTCTCGCCCGCGTTTGGCTAGCGTATCGAGTAGGCACAGCCTTAAGGGACTTCGACTGAGAGACAGTGAAGGCGGTATCCTGGATGTAAATGTCGAAACTGCTCCTGAAATTGGTCAGGCCCTTCCACAGCATCATTCGGATCCGAGATTAAGAGTACATTCAATGTCGAGGTGAGATTGAGAACGCTCGGCGATCGTCCTCCGAATAAAGTAAAAGTCTGGAATATTAACCTCTATATTTTGCCAGTGGTGATCACGGTCGAACGTAATGTGAGAATTATTCGTTGAAACTATTGAAATAATGCTTTACATCCGAGGCATGAAAGCAGAATTGGATGCATTTTAAATCGCCGAAATGATCGATTATACAGGTTTCTTGTGGTAATTTTATATTCTGACATCTAGAAAGAGCTAAATGTATTTATTTCAGCAACCTGTTGCATTTCGGAAAAGCAAACCAATTTATTTTAGTTTCCACCACTTCAAAAAATCTCCTGCGTACTTCTCGAGTTTGCAGAGAGGCAATGACTGATTATAACACTATCAGTGCATCATTTAAAAAGTGTTCTCCGTCAACGTTGTCGTATGTTATTCTGTGTGATGATTGCGAAATGATTTTTTCTCTCCCCGAATATGATTTCGAATTCCCTAGACGCAGAGCGGGAAGCATCACTGTGTCAAGGCCCGTTCGTCGCCAGAGCAGTGGTAGTTCGGATGGATTTCCCCGTCCGCCTTCGTTGGGGTCTTGTGGTTCTCCGTTGATAAATGCCCATGATGCTGATCGTTGTGGTCGTAAAAAAAGTCTGAAGGTGATTTTGTGATGATCAAACTTGTTTCTGATTCATGTTACACTGCGAAGCCATCGTCGACGCAATCTTTTTTGAGTAGCAATTTTCAATATGCCGAAAATGGGGAATGATTTGGCCAACACATAGGTAGTTCATGGTAAATTCATACGTGAGGACCTTTTTTCTTCGTGGTCCCAATTTTTCACACAATTTGTTTTCGCACAAGATTCATTTTCAAGTGAGCTATTTCAAATTATAAGCTCTTCGGAAAGGCTGGTCTGGATCCTTTTGTTTTTCGCGTTGTACGTTCCTGCCGATCGTATCTTCGCATGAATGATGGGGAAAAAAATGCATCACCAAGTTTCATCAGTGCCTATAATAATGCCATTGCAGCAGAGTGAAAAATTGGAACGAGCGAAAATAATACAGCACTGTAATATGCCAAGTGATGAGATTTTAATGTTATTTTCGCCATCGTGCAGGCTGGTGACGCCGAGAGAGACAAAACGCTTTACGAGCCGGTGAATTTCTACGTCGAAGGGGATTTGCAGAAGGATGAACAACAACAAACTGCTTTTTCGTCCGGCTTTCGTGAATCGAGCAATTCTAGCGCTCCAACTTTCCAGGTTCATTTTGGAATATGTCTTGCCAGTTTCATTCTTATCTGGTTCCTGTTCCATCTTTTTCTAATCTGAATTAGCTTGTACGGCTGTCGATTTCGAATACAGTATTCGCATCATTTTCTTAGGGAGATCCTGACTTTCCTGGGATTGATCCCTTCTCCTTCGCCTTCAAATCTGTTGGATCAAATTTGCCGGATACAAATTACTTTTCTAAGCCGGCTATTCAAGTGCGTCAAGAAATGTCTTTGAGCTCTTCTTTCAAGCTTCGTAGACCAAGAAGAAAATCTCAAATCCCTCGCTTTCTTTTTCTGTAGAATCAACAATTTTTTGAATAGGTTTTCTAATTACATCATGAATGCTCTAGATAATTCCACCAACGCCTCCGGTGTTCTTCAGTGGACCAAACGAAGTGCTGGACGATGCTGAAATCGCCTTTCCTTTCATGAGAACAAGTTTTCGTCCGCCAATGATGGTAATCGCGAAAACTTCGTTTACGATTCCGGGTCGTATTTATATCACGACGTATTTCAGGGCCGAATGAGACGTCTCTCAGAATCGGCATCTCTTGATGAAACGGAAACGAAAGCTTTGCGTGAAGCGGAACAAACACACTATTTCCTCATGGAAAATGTTCTCAAGGATAGACTGTTGGGGGTTTCAGAAATGTTCGACGAGCGCGAGGAAGATGTGACCGAGAATGTGTCCGTGAATTCTTCGAAGCAGTGAGCCATCCGGAAATTAACAGAACTATCAAGTTTTGCTGATATAACAATTTTTCAACTCCCAAGAATTTCGACTGATGACGGCTTCAATGGAAGCACGACTTTCGATGGTCTCAACCTGAAGAAGGAAAGCAACAAGGATCTATGGGATGCTTTGTTGAAGATGGATTCAACAAAAATAACCGTTCTGAAGAAGCCATCAACTCACAAAGGACGCTCAATGATGAATCTCACGAAAATTGCTGAAACTGTTTATGATCAAAATACGGTGAACCTGTCGACTTTGTCGCTTCCCGTTCTGCAAGGGAATGGAACCTCGGAATCTCGCCTATCCTAAGACATCGTTCTTCGCATCTCAGCGCGGAGGGTTCGCATTCTTATCAGGATGATCTGAATTTGTTTAGTTGTGATAGTCTCCGGGTAGTGATTCAGACGACTGCTGTCACTCCTAGGCTTGAAAAATTCATTTATTTCCAATTGTTCCATTCCGTATTCGGTTTGAGGTTCGATCGACCGTTTCGTTCGCCTGTGAGACACGACCTATCTCAAGTTGTAAATCTGCTCAAAATGGCTCTTCCATGACAGAAGAAGCTTTAAGTTTTTGCTTCAAATGGTCCGAGCCAGGTGTTCAGATCTGCTTCTAAACAATTTTATGCGTTAATGCTTTCATCCCGGGGCATTTTGCGGGTTCTGAGGCGTTTTTAGCAAGGAAAATTTTCTCTAAGGCTCTAATGAAGGTTTTATTTGATGGTCTGTGATCAAGTTCGTTCATCATTTATCTGGTCCATGATGAATATACCTGACTTGAGTGCCGGAAGCAATATGCTGAATACAGAACTTGTATATTTTTGAAATCTTTTCGACGGTGACAGGTATTATTATCCATGCTGGCTTTCCGACTTTCGCGGATTTTGAGTCAACATGTTGCATTTTATTGCTGTGTCTAGTTGGCATAAAAAGAAGAAAAAAACTGATCGTCTTTCAGCAGCCATGTTCGGATGACATGCGTGCGCCGTTGTAGAATCCGCGCCCAGTATACTTGTTTAGCTATTAATTGTGGTGCCATTCTGTTTACGAATTGTGTTTCCAAGTGCCAGTTTTAGCATCACGGAATGAATAATTAGCTGAAATTCGTCATTCCAGTCGGCTTGTTATTCGGTTGCGGCGAGACACGTGATGAGCTTGAAGGATGATACCTAGTTGGAATACAGTACTGTGATGCATGATGTTACGGGAATTTGTTGGAAGTTCTGGGAATAGACGTCGTTATGTCGAAGTTTATTATCAGTTCGACTTTTTTCATTTTTGTTCTGTATGGGATGAAAAGGAGGGGTTTGTTTGCTACATTTACGAAATGCTGTCGTTGCCTTATTCTCCTTCGTATGGAGAATGCCAATGAAGTTGGAGTCCTTCGGAATATTCAATCGTTTTGCAGCAGATATGTTTTTAAACCCAATTTTCAGGGACTCGCTTCATATTTTATTGATGTTTTTCGGCTCTACAGGAAATGCAAATCCTTGACATTGAAACATGGAGGTTCATGGGTGCGCACGAAATTTTTGACTGGTTTTGAAAATGCAAAGGTGCCCATTATCCTTTCGAATTCTGACAAGAGGAAAAAAAATTACTCGCATTTTGCTCTTCATCTTGCCTTGAAAACTACCCGAAATGATTTCTTTCTACTTTTTCCTTGTGTGAAATATGAACGTAATTAACTTTGAATGAACCGAGTTTGGTAGGCAAGGCGCCATCGTACACATGTTCAAAAACTACGAAGACTGTAGCCCCATACTTAGGCCGAAGTGCAAAAAGTCTAATTATAGTAATTGTATTCACAAGGAATATTTTTTGCTTCATTTCTCGCATCTATTTTATGATGAGAAGCGCATATATGCAGCATTTTGTAAAATTCGCTGAAGTTCGGGGAAGAATGGATTCGAATTGCAACGCAAAAGAAACTATCAAGATTTGAGAAGGCTGAATAAAGAGCTTAAGCTGACCTCAAAGAAATGTACCTCCAAAGGGGCATTGTTTCGCATTTTACTTTTAGATTTAAGATTTTGAAAATCTGTAAGACAAATATTAACAGTTGCAACATTACTGGTTCCCAATTTTAATGTAACACGAATTTCTTGGCAAATTTTGCACAAAAAAAGTATTTCCCAGATCGAAGTACGATGGGTAATCCCCAAATGTCTAGAAATCTTCGTCTTTTTATTCAAAACCGGATGCTTATCTAAAATTTAATGTATTCTATTATATAATTTTTAAAATGCCTCCTTCATATAGTTTTGAGATTGTTGCACAAATCATGATCTAACATTTCCCGAGGCGCCCCTGATGATAGTGCTGGTGATACTGTACCTCGTGTTTGTCATTCCCTATTCTACGAGAGCCCCGTTTTTTGAAAACAATACTGTATCAGACATAATTTTTTGGAGAACTGCCTTGAAGCCGAGAAGTTACTGCCATCAGGGCTCCGCGGAGCACTAGTCCACAACCACTATTATAGCCTTGTTCTTTTCTCGATTAGCAAAAGAATTTGCACTGTACGGAATTCATTTCTATCGGCTGTGGAATATGAAGCTGTTGGCTGTACCGCCCTGGATCGCAGAGGAATTGGTGCTCCCATTTTTGATGGTTTCTCTCACTATAGTGGAACCACCACGCAAATATTGTTCAATCGCGTTAATGTCGTGCGATGTAAGTGCAAATAGAGCTCAACGGGGACGCAACCCGGATGAAATATTTACTCAGCGATCGAACCCGGCCGATGTTCCATTTATCAGCGCTATTCTGACTCCTTCGGAACTGCATGGTGCTTATTCATTTCACGGACGTTCGGAGATTTCCCAGCTATTCATAATTTTTCTAACGATAGCAGCGGAAAAATACAGGACTGCGTGTTTCCTCATCCTACCAGTTTTCGTTCTAGTATAGATACGCTAGAATGCTTATTACAGTTTAGAACTATTGTCGCTAAATGTTCAGGGGAACTCCCGGATCACCTTAATTATTGTCATTATACCGATCTTAAGATCACGAATTTTGAAACCGGAAAAACTAAATAAAAACTTCGATTTAACTCTCAAGTAATCGCTCAAAAGAGTTCAAAATAATAATCTACAGACAAGTTTTGCGCTGTTCAGCCGGTTGTGAAATGTCGCTTCACAGGGGAAACAAATATATGTTGTTCAGACCAGCATGCAACATTTTGACAGTTTTTTGTTCATTTTTCCGAGTAATTCCTTCGCATGCAATAATAACCCATACAAATACCATTAGGGCCACTGTAATCCTGATTTTTTGTAGGCACCTGAGGATAAAACTTAATTGGACGCCTTCAAGACGCAAATTGTGAAGCTAAAAATATGGCTACAAGTACTACTGTATACGTATATGAGCAAAAAAGAGCAGTTTATACAATGATCTCTGATTTTTCAGGAAAATTCAAATAAAATGAAGACAGCCTCAACTTTGCGTTGAAATGCTCACAATGCTGAAAGACAACCATGTCACTAAAGAAATCGATTGTGTTGCTTTTCATATGAAAGGCTTTTGGTCTACGTTTCACTCCACACTCACTTGATTTATAATTTTAGAGTATGCTTCTATGCATACATTCTATTATCGGATACCTCGAGTACAATAAACGAACTTTTTTTTCGGGTTGTATTCAGCAACATGCTTTTCGAATGATTTATGCATGTTTTTCGAATATCTGGAAGGAAATTATTTCATCTGATCGTTCTCATATCGTGCTGCATTTTAATTTAATTTTCTGTCAAAATGTTTCCCCTATGGAATGTACGGAAATCGAAATTTTCGGATTTTTAAGCCATTTCGTTTTTTTTAATGACTTAGCATTAATGTTGAGAACTTCGATCAACTGTTACAGCGCAGCGCAACGCTGCGAAAGTCAAAGCGTTGCTGAACGAGCAAGACGAAAATTTTTTGCGCAATCCGGGCTTCGCTGGGTTCACCTGGCTCGATTTTTGGCTGCGCGGTGCGGGGGCAGCAAACTGATTTCTGCAGCAATTCTGGGGGTCGGTGCCCCCGCTGAACGCCCAACCCCCGCGGCGATATCTGTCCATTCTTCCGTTTTGCATCAGTTCATTTTTTTTTTTTCGGCAGAGGAAACCCATTCCTGTCTTCAGAATAAATAACCCTCTCCCACTGTGGCCGCTGCGCAACCCCTCTCGCTCGAACCCACTCTCTGCAACGTTGCGCTCTCCCCCCATTGCGCATTGTGCGTGGGAGAAGGATGCGGGGTCGGGGCTTTTTCTCCTTGCAAAAATGTTGCGGGCGCGGCCCGAAGAGGGGGTTGAACGAATTGCGTACCCCCTTGTGCTGATCGGACTCACGGGCTAGTCCCTCTTCTGGCGTTGCAAGACAAGGCTACTGCAACCCCTTTTTTTTCCCGTTCTCATATTCGCGCATCTCATCATTTTTGCTCCGCTGTGAACATATTTTTCCCCTGCCTATCTGTCGTATTCCAGGTGACGTGAAAAAGTATTCTGCGTGTGTTTCGAAGAGTGCCGTCTCTGATCCCGTGTTCGACATCCCGGGAAGCAATCGGTGAGTCTTCTTGCTTCTTTGAGTAGCTTTTTATCTTCTTTGAGAGAGGAGAGAGAAAAAATAAGAGAACTCGGATATTTGTTTCCTGAGCATTGTGCGCTGACTCGAGTCAACCTGTCGTGAAATACGGTATGAATCCACGGCTTGTGTTTCGAATAGCTTTGCACGATTATTAAAAAGCTTCCCATCGTTGATCAAATAGCGAAGCCCCTGCCAGAATCGACGGAAGTGACGCGATCATCGCTGTCACAGTAAATACAACCAAGATCAGCACACAGCCGAAAGTCGAGAATAAAACTTGCGTCTTCGCTTCTATCTCGGATTAAACTCAGCGATCGCTGTTTATTCAGGGAACGTCCTGAATCTCGAGATATGTTCCTTAAACGACGAATTTGTTCAACACGGCTGTGCTGCGCAAACGCAGAGCGCCCGTCTCGATGATCCTTCGGAAGGGTTACGTATTGCTGAGACGAAATCGGGTTCGTCGGACTGGAGATGTACCCTGTGGCTTCGAATCGAGCAGAAAGACCCTGTATTGCGCATTCCTCTCTCCGAGAATGGCTACCGCGAAAAAAATAGGAAGCCAGCGAACAATGAAGCCCGATTGCATTGTGCGCGCTGCTGAACGTTTCCGCGAAAGCTGTAGAATTTGATGTGCACCTCGAAATATTATTGCTTTGTTGAGCTCCTCGTGAGTCTTATTCGGTAATGGTACCGTACTTCCATCCGCATTGGTTGCTTCTGGGTCATTCTGCGAAACTTTGTGGCTGTTTTCGGGACTGTACGCAGTTCTCTGAACGTCCTGCCAACTTCCACTAAGGAACAAGCTCACTCGTTCAGTTCCTGCGATTAAATATATGCATTTGCGTACTTGAGTACATGTCCCACATTGATTTCGAACAACCACTTCAGAGAAAAACTGCGTAAGACACTAAAACAACATTTTATTGGAGTATGAAAACAGGAATAGCATCCGTTCTTCAAACTTTTCTGCCCAACAGGTTCTCACGCAAAAATATTGTCTTGAAATTCAGTTGGAGATCAATTTGTGTATTGCGTAATGCTGTTCATTATTTTTAAAGGCTATTTTACAACGCAAAATTAGTTTTCTACCTTAAAATCTGTCAGCACGAATCTGAGGCATATGATATAGGCCCGCATTCTCCGAATCAGTGCGGCCTTCACACGAATATCTCGATTATATCCCATCACCAACTTATCAATTCGTGATGGAGAAGTGTGGTCTATACACTCAAGTGAATCTAGAACTTCTATAAGAGAGCATGGTTGAACCAATAAAATATACTAAAGCCGGATATCACTGAATTTTGATTTGAATCCATGTTGTGTTCGAAAAAAATATGTGTATTCACTGAATTTAAGCTTTTGTAGGCGCAGCGTTTTCATATACCATACATGCTTTTGTGCTTCTGTGTGAGGGAAACATTGTATAGGCGCGCGAAAATATTCTGAAAGATTTTCACGAAACACTGGAGAAACCTAAAAATTTTCCTTTAAATATTTGCCGACTATTAGAGAATGTGTTGTACATCTACAGTGCATGGTATATTTTTATGATCTAGTGATTCATGTTGAAACGGATGCAGCCTTGAAAATTCATGAGAGGAAATCCATCTGCATTTCCCTTTATACGAACAGCATATGCTACGCAGACGATGCCACATCTATGTTGACCAAAGCAT